TGAGACTCTCGGCCTAACTTGTTGGAATTTTAGATTCAGAATAACTTTGTCCTGGAGGTAGATCGGACTGGTTGTTTATGTTAATTGTTATTGTCGATCTGATTGCACGTTTCATTTTAATTGGAGGATCAGGGTAACCTCGTCCTGGAGGTATATCGGAGAGGTTATCCTGGGCGGACGTTAACAGGGGATAATCGTTCTTGGAGGTATATCGGATACGATTGTCCCAGAGGTTAAATGTATTGGCTGGAATAACTAATTCTTTTGAAATGTTAGCTAACGGCACTTTTCTTTTTTTGTCATTTTTACAATATTCAATAATGTCAGTATGTGTAATTTTCCCTTGGCTGTTTCTTTGTTTTTCCTTTGCTGCAGATGCAGACAATGAAATGCAGGCTACTTAGGGTATCGACCTGCCTGTTGATGTTCTACAAACTATGGAGGCGTTCGAACCACAACCGGGTCCTTCTGGGACACAGAGACACTCTGATTGCATAGCTTCCACTTCCAATGAAGAATATTCACTGCCAATTCTTGACAAGGATCAGGAAAGTTAAATTAATGGAGTCCGAGGACGGACTCCTGTCAGGAGAGGCCGTGTTGGAAATTATCAGAAAAGCTCAACTACCCGCCACACTGAAGGCTATATAAACAAGCCTCAAGCAACGGCTCGTACACTTCTTTCGTTGCTCGTTGTACGGAACGGACGTGCTGCTCGGTCGATAGGCTTTTGTTGAATTTAAATTTATTTAGTTGTTGTGTTATTTTGTTTTTATTTTAGTAAATCTGCTAATGATTTCTAAAAATATATATATATATAAATATAGGTTTATATGTGCATACTTCATCGTTATATTTAACTCAGTGTAAAACTTTAATATCTTTCATATATATTGCACATGATGGCGCTATATAAATTAAATATCGATTATAAATTAAAAACATTACGACACGGGTAGGACCTGAATCACAGCATTCTTTGCTTTTGCTCTAACTAATTGAGCTACCGTGTCAAAAGAGCAGTTTTCATAATTTTGTCAACGGTTATAACGGTAGAAAGCTTTAGTCAGCACTATTTTCAAAGTAAAAATTGGCGAGAAATTTTCCCCACATTTGAAGCGAGCTGGAATCCATATTATTGAGTTAGCAGACATCCCCCGGCGTCGCCCGCCCGTAAATTTATTTATGCGCTTCAGTGACAAGGCCTGGGATATTAGTAAACCCTTTTATTTCATCCGTTTTTCGGAATATATTTCTAGGATTTAAGACAAAACCAGTTATACTTGTATAAGTGAAATCCCGTTCCCGCTGTGGGCCATGGGGCAAACACATTTTTGCATCCGTTTCAATGATCGTTTCTTCTACAGGCAAGTGTGCATCAAAATGTGCCCTGTCCAACCCAAACAATCTATTGTTTCCCGTTAATCCAGGACCTCTCGCGCCTAACGCAATTCAAATAGGGCGATTATGAGATATACTAATGAAATGTTATTAGTTAATTGTAACTCTATTGAGAGTAGGTTTATAAGTAGTTACTAATACTGACAAGTTAGGACAACGCGCTAAGATTTCTCGCTCGTTTGCACGTCACTCACAAAACGTCAAGTTTATAATGTGAATGGACCCTTATTACGAGCATATTCTATTGGAAGACGGTATAATAACAATAAAACTAGAGGAATATTTAATATTTGTTGATATCTGTCGGTTTTTTGTTGTTTTAGTATTTAGGTTTCCCAAATAAATTACTAATTTATGCTTAGATGATCGTGGCAATTTAAGAAGTCAGTCAATCTGAAATAAAACGGTTAATGATTAATCATATTTCTTGGAATAAATACATTGATTCATAGGTAATTTAAATATTTGTGTAGAATTGACAAAAATACAAAATTATCAAGTAATACATGAAGGAAATAAACATTTATATATTATTAATATTAACAGTTATTTAAAACTAATAGTCATATTTAGACTTTTAGGTATAAATAAAAAAAGATTTGTCAACTTACTTTTAAATACAATAAATCCAGTAAAAGTGAAAAGCTCCACGTCTCACAAAATCGTAGTAAACAAAACAAACTATACCAGTATTTAAAAGTATCTATTATTGTTTAAATAACTAGTCACAGAGTACACAATTAGTATTACGTACTAATTAGTAACATCATTCGATTATGAAAACAAATTGGTTACTAATCCCATAATCGATTACCAACATTAGTAATACAAAATAATTCGAATATGCCGGTCATTCATAATCGCCCACCTCTAAATTCAAGGCAACACGTTTTAACGTATTGTACAAGTAAAAGTACGTGTTAAATAAAACAAATTATTAAAGTTACAAATACTTAACTGTGTAATAACAGAAAAAGTAGATCGATCTCAACATAAAATATAACTTTATAAGCTCGGCGAAGACGTTTTCATAAAATGGTCTAATTTATAATCTTCGCGATCTCTTCAGCAATTTTGTTTACGCCACGAGAATACAGCCTTTTTATACTTATTTCCATCTTATGCTGCTTTAAACCTTAATATTTTTATACCATTTTAAGAAGTTTATGCATAATACTAAATTTGTACGAAATTGGGGATCAGACACTTTTTGAACAATATTAGTAGGTATGCTTTTAACAAAACATACAGTGGTATTCTGTTAAAGGTACGTAATGTTGCAGGCGCGTGTATAAGCTGGTTACGCATCGGAGCCTTATTCACCGCTCCCAACAAATCCGTTGCTTGGGAGCCGGGTAGTCGGTAGGCACACCGCACGCTATGTAGTGGTGTGTAGTGCAAAATAGACAGTCTAGGGCGCATGGCGGTGAGAGGTGGCAGATTTATGAGAGGGATATTTCATCGGATGGCTCGCGGTGACGTGACCTCCCCTCCCCCTGCACGGAGAGAGGGGGTCACCCCATGTTGGCCTGCGTTATAATATTTACTCGAAAAACTACTGTGTTACATTGATCGTCATATGTTTCGATTTGGCCCGCGTGGAATAGACATCAAATTTTATTTTTGCAAAGAATCACCAGATCTTTATAAATCACTCGTAAAGCTGTTATCCACATCGTCCGACACCCGTCGTTCTTGCAATTTTAAATTAAAAAAAAGTTTTAAAATGTCTTGACGTGGTCGTTTTTTTAGATCAGTTAAAGAGGAATCATTCTTTCATACATATTTTTTAGTTTGTTAAACTGTGCAACAGGAGAACACTAGGATAAATTTTTTTTTGCCCGTTTTTCCGCATTCCTCACTGTTTCTTGCGTCCAATTGGAGCATAGCCTAAAAACTCTCTCAAAAAAAATGTTAACAAATAGTTTCTGATATTAGCGCGTTAAAACAAATTTTTAGAAGGTATCGTAATAAATTACCAATAATTTTAGTTACCAAAACGATTTTAGCTCAGTTAGTGCAAGTACTAATATGACAATTTTATTAAAGTTTTAAATTAATATATAACCACATTGATCCATTATAAAGTTTAATGTTTGGACCCTTTATATGGGAACTTTTAAAATATATTATCTTACATTTTTATCGATTATAAAAGCATCGTATTGAGTCAGAAATAATATTAGGCACCTCTGAAATGTGAGCGGAAATATTATTATGAAGAAGCCCTTATGATGCACGAACGAGCCCGATGGCCGCTTAAAAAATGTATTTATACTGTGCTCATATTTCGCTCAGTTTATTTTTCACAGCCGAATATCATGTGAATTTTGAATTTAATATATTCAACTATATGCATTCGTTCTACCTCCGTTTATATTAGTACACGAAAGCTTTTTTGAGCCCTTATTCAAATCGAAAAAAATGAGCTACCATATTTTTAATGAGATAAAATATCTTTTATAAAACCGTGCGATGCACAATTATGCTTCTGCAGGTCAAAGTCAGCTCAAAGTGGCGTGGGTTCGAATTTTGAATTATTTTTAAAATCTACCTGCGTATATTTTATTTTTGTAATTTGAATGGAAAATAAACCGTACTTCTCACATCGTACTTTGAAAATTCTATTTAATACACACTGTCAAATTATAATACTTATTACTCATCGTCTATTTTCGATCACTAAATACTTATCTATAAAAAGCAAATGGACTCGCATATTTTTAATCGACCATTCCGCCTTGATTACGCCCTATTTTAAGCAAATGCATTACAGTCCATGGTTCGGAGTTTATAGTCGACAGCACTTATCGCTGGACTCATTCCGGACTGATGGACTGCGAAACTAACCGGCTGCTGGAAAAGATTCAACTTTAACTCGTTTAATGATGCAGTATTCGGCTGCTCCACGCTTTTTAATCGGTTATATTATATTGAACGTTGATTTGCGTTTATGTAGATTTCGATAACTTATTTATGTACAACTTGTTGTCCCACTGCTGGGCAAAGTCTCTTATAGAAACGGGTTTCAGTGCTTAGACACGCTACCAGTGTGGCTTGGTGGGCTTTAACGACTACCGCCAACTAATTTCGATTAGATAGAAGCTAAATGGTTATTAGGACTCGTAATCACTAGACTGATTTTCAAACTCCATGACTGTGACTTAATTTTCTTGAAAGAATATCGATTGTAATTTGACCGACTTTGGATCCGAACCCTTGGCTTCGCTGTGTCAGTACTAACCATTAGACTCGACGAGGCCGACTTTGACGCGTAACGGTAATATACATTTAAAGAAAACACTTTAAACGGTTTAAAATGTGAAATGTATTAAATAAAATTTATTTAGGGTATATTTACTAATAATATACGTTTCCGATGCGTTTCAGCACGAAACGCTTTATGGTACTAATATATTTCGCATTTTAACCATTCAAAGTGTTTTATTTAAGTCACATAAAATTATTTATATCGGTCCCCCCTTCCAAGAAAGAAAAAAATTTTTTTGGAAAAAAATTTTTTTTTCTAGGGTACTTAGTATCCTAAATGGATATACTAGAAAACTTAATATAAATTTAGTCTATACAATTTGTTTCAGAGTCTAGAAGAACGAGAAAAGAGGCATTCAAGTCACAAAGAGCAACTATCGCGGGAGCAAAGGTATCTCAGGCGGCGGTTAGCACAGTTGCGCGCATCGCGGGACTTTACGCGGTCGCTTTCGGAGAGTTCGATGGCGCATGCGCACGCGACGAGAGCCGACTCTCTCTCCTCTCTAGAGTCCTCCTCGGGGGTATCGACTGCCGAGAGATCTCCTTCGTCCGTCTCGGAAAGCGGTGAGTCTGCGATTACTCATTTTATCAACAGGACCGTAGCCCAACAGAAAGTGCTTCGAATCAGTCAAAGCACTCTTATGGCTATAAAATCGATGAAAACGGACACATCTGTGTCTCAAAGTAGGGAAGTTGATATTTTTCAGAATATCCTTTCAGCCGTCACTCATAGCACTTTATCTGTAATAAAATCGAGAAAACGGACACACATGTGTGTCTCAAAGTAGTTAGTATTTTAAATAATCGCAAAATGTATTAATTTAACACACGTTTCAAATAACGGATTCATCAAGAACATGATGTGATTAAATAAAGCGGAAACTTGAGACTGACGTGTAAAATTAACTTTGAATAATAGGTGTCGAATTACAAATATGAGAAGGAAAATTGGGGATTGCTAATACAATTTTGAAACAATTTTCATTTGAGACGAAAAATTTAAGTAACATGAGCTTTGAAAATATGAGTATAACAATGGAATTTCTTTTGAACCCTAGATTAGAAGCTCTTTCAAAAGTGTATTATCATACTTATATTTCACCGTACCTAAATACAAGATCAAACTGCAAATTTAATCGAGCGATCAGTCAGGTGGCGTTGACAGGAACATCAGAACAATAGATTTAGTGCTGACAGTAATGTAATTCTGGTATCAAGCAGTCGTCCATTGTTTGGCACATGCGGGCTATACACAGACAGACATTAACCAATATGAGCAATAGGTGTATTATTGTTATTTGAACAATAGGGCCTTGTCCTATAATGAAAACTGGCCGGTAACAATAGAATGTAGACTATACACAGACTTAGACGTGCATAATGTTCTTATTTTAAATTTCCCGCCAATATACGTACATTTTTCACATGTCAAAATGTCACGCTAATGTTGCACATTGCTTTCTCTTGTCAAAAGCTAGCTGGAACTGTATGGGAACCTGACTTGCATTTTTAAGGTTTGGACACTTTAAAATAAACTAAGCTAAAGATGAATACAAAAGTTTATAAATATCCCCAAACGCGGATTAACGTTTAATCGGCGGATTAAGAGAATAACCTATTTAAAAACGCAGTAATGAGCTTATAAAATTATACGACGTTCGATGTCTTAGCTTATCGTCTTACAACATAATGCGCCTAGCTCTGGAACGAAATTAAATTATGTAAGGCTTCATACAAAAGGGCTGCTTGAGCATTTTGATTCTTAGTCATGTGATCCCTTATTATCTATGCGTGGAATTCTTATCAACATATTCTTTCCGTCGTTCTTATATTTGCTTAACAACAATCCAAAATTGGCGTAAAATTAAATTGCTTAGCATTAAAATCGATCACACTTTAAAACTGTTGTTAAAACACGCATAAAATAAAGTCTACGACTAAACTAAACCCTAATTACAAAAATGTATGTAATAACTCAAGATAATATGTCTTTTTTTATATAGAGAGGCGATAAGACGGTGACTTTGTTAAACCAAATAACATGAATACCACGATAAAATCGCTAGGAAATCCATTATTTACAACAAATAAAATCAATAAAAAGATACTACGGTTCTGATATTGCATCCGGCTGTATCCTATATCCGGTGCTTTATAAATTAACTTAGATGCTTTTCACGATGTAGCATTATCAAGTAGGAAATATAAAATAAATATTCGTTTTATACTGTCGTTATTCATAATCGATTTTCATTTTGCATGGGCACACATCCGTCTTTATTTATGCGATGTCACGTTGCAAACGAATAAATATGAAGTAATAACGGATGAATATTTACACCTCCACACGATTGTAGACCTATATATGAGCTACGAAAGGGCTACGCGGTCTCTACCATTACACAAGTAAGCAATGTGAACGCAGATTGCTTACTTTTGTAATAAAAAAATTGCTGATATCATCCCTAAATAATGCTATCTCCTCAAAAACCTTCTATTATTAGATGAACCTACTTTTACACATTTTTCTCAAAATAAACAAAAAGTCAAGTTTGCACAATATTATTTGAAAAAAGTGTTGAACGCGGAGTAAACCATTGAAAAAAGACATTTTCATAAAAAGACTGACATTTTTGTCTACGTTAGAGCTTTTTAATACGGAAAGAAGCGTAAAAGTCTTCAAAGGGCAAAAGCTTTTAGAGCTTTCATTCATAGGCAGTTTGCATGGTGATTGCTGCCGTAAAAATAAGCATTTGCATATGAATTAAATGTTTATTGTGAGGGAGGCTCCTGGTTCGTAGTTTATACATGTGTTTTGTAAACGCACAAAGGATAACTTCATACGCCGAGACTTCGATTTGAGGAAGTTTTTTTGTACATCTTTTTCACCTGACACGTTTATTTTCGGAAGAAATACATTTCGAATTGTATACAATTCGCTAAAGCGAAAGACACGATATTATATCTACACAAACGAGTTGAAACGAATAGACTATACTATACTAATGATTCGTTCGTATTTTTTTTACTTGAATGATACGAGTATCATAAAATATATTAAATACTTACTGTCTGTGGGTTAACGGTTTAAAACGCGAAATAAATAAATTAAACTTATATTAGTTACGGCGCCGACGTTTCGAATGCTTTGCAGGAAGCGTTGGCAGAGGGAGACTGTCTCCCTTATTATTTTATTTCCATAATACTGTACATTGTATATGTAATTAACGAAATTAATGAATAGGCACTCAAGCTATTCAAATGCATTTAATTCAAGTGTAGAATTATTTAGAAGATTACCTATTAAAGTGATACTAACGCAGTTGTATAGGCAAGTGGGTGGCATTACGCTAATCTCATGAAGGCAGTGACGCGCGAAACAGTAGATTGCATAAGGTCCGCACCTGGCTGCTTCACTAATTCACTTATCGTGGCGTGTTTGTTTTGGTGTCGAAAAAGTGCGTAAAATGATAAAAATGTAAAGTGATAGTTTTTCTGCGTATGCTTCGATATTCAAAATGTTAAATAAGCGGTTCGAAATTCGAAATTTATAAGTTTTACTGTTTCTCCCCATTTATTGATCGCAGCCTAGATTTTTTGATTTTATGTAAATCAAAAAATCATTGACTATCTACAACACTTATCTACGTAAATACATTTGAAAAATTTATATAGCCTGAAGACAAGTATGATAAATAGTCTATCAAGAATAAAAACAAAGTTCAATTCCAAACAACAAACGCGATCTCTCCAGCTTTATAATTTTAGTATAGAAATGAAAATTCTTAATGAGACAATATGGTTTGGATGTTTTAAATTAACTATAATTAACTCATAAATTTCACGTTTTAAATTATTAAAAGGTTTTTATTCAATATGTTGCACTCTTGTAAACTAAACAATAAAAAATATTATATTTAAGTGGCAAAATATTACGTATTTGTATATTGTTATAGTAGAGTAAATGAAAAGTAAGATAAAGGAAACCTTTAAATACGTTACTTCCAACTTTCGGCCTAATGTACTAAAATATTTCACCTCTTAATGCGATTTATGTAAAGTCGTAGACATATGATTCATTGCGGACACTGAAAGCAACTCAATATTAATCTATTCACACGACACGACTAGCTATATTGAAACCTCATTGGAAAAAAAGAGACAAAAAATATGAATGGCCGAAACGAAATCGGATTTTCCGTTTTATGAATGGAATATATCATACGAAGAATAAAACTGGATTCCTTTTTTTACAAACAAATGTATGTGTAAATTTATGGGGCACTAAAGTTTTTTTTATTATGGACTCGCGAAAATGTTCTCTGTGCCAGTGGGGGAAGAGCGATTTTTGCTCTATCGTCTCATTTTAATACGTTTCATCTTATGCGTTTTTGTAGTAGTCAACATTTGTGTCTCGAAGAAATCCATGAGACATTTAATTAAGAAACCTCTTACAAAACAAATATAATATGAAAGAACCTTGATTTAATTTGAGAAGTATTTTTTTATAAAATATATTTTAATAATAATAATATTTTTTGCAATTGTAGGTATGTATCATGCACGTCTTTGTAGTAATTTTTACGATTTTCCAAACTTAAAAATTTAACATGTATTTAGATTGAAAAAAAAAACGACATAAACGGGACTTGAAACAGCATCCACATTGGTAAGATCAGCAGCGCGGAAAAAATAATTGGAATATGTGCAATGACATGTAAACATATTTTTTAAATGATCAATAATATATATTTAGATCGTATAACAACGCCATTTTAACTACAGTACTTTTAGTCTTAATTTTTTAGTTAAAAGAAATGAACATTAACCTACTGAATGCCGCATTGCATTTCTACTCGAGCAAAATAAGCCCTTAATACAATTTTTACCTGTTTCGTTATTACATGTTCGTGCCAAAAAGCCAGCGCAGCTTGTTACGGAGGAACACTGGATTTAAACGTATTAAAAAGCTAAATATATTTTACAGATAGTCACAAAACGCTCGGAGCGACAGGCCTTTGAGTTTGAAAGGCGGGCTTGTTAGGCTTTGTCAACTTTTTTACTTCCTGACTTAACTAAATAAAGGTCTGCATGAAATAACTTTTTTTGTGCAGTGCTGAAAAGGTAAACAAGAGAGGATTTCGGATTCAGTTATGTTCAGGGTTTGGTTGTTATAATTTTAGACAGTATTATCATTTGTTGTGAGAATATTATGATTGCTCCTTAACAGCTTAACCGTATAGCTTAATCAATAGCTGAAACACGGGCATTAAACACAAGCCTCACAGTTGGTTGTAAGTCATGCGGGTTTCCTTACGATGCTTTCCGTCATCGTGACTCTTCTCTTTTGTAATTAATATAGCAATACTGTCTGTAGTTTACGCGAGTAGTACAATTTCAAATACATATATCACTTTAACGGTTTTAAACGCGAAATGTATCAGTTTAACTTGTTTTTTATTTATTTTAATTATCGTGACCACGATTACTGTAGCACATCCGAAACGTCGGGCCGTAGTTTAAAATAATTTGTAAATAAGTTTAACTAATAGATTTTACGTTTT